ATTCTTCTTGGCAAGTATCATCACCGGATCTCAATCCAACTGAATAACTTTGGGATGACATTGCAACATATAACTCTGCAGAGAGTCTTTACGGAGTGCAATCTATATATCCATAGGCTCAATCATAAATCCATTCAAAAAACAAATTTCATAACAGTTGGAGAACAAATGCAAAAGATATAAACTTGGAGGTAGTTAACCGCGGAAATAGCTTCCAAGAGGAGCTGGAAATATGAAGTTTCTTCAAATAACTTTTCAATTGAAGATGAAAACCATTCATGCTCGTAACTGGAAAACAATAATGAAAATAGGTAAGACTGAGTTGGCGCTTAAACTCAGAACGTTCGAAGCTATCCTGACATTAATCATTCACGGCTGGCTGTGGGCATGACAGTAATCGCATATTGCCAATTACGAAGATAAGAAGTCCAAATTATATATCTAAAAATTTCAAATCTTATCCTTTATAATGTAACTCAGGTAATAAACCTAGCGACAGAATATAAATATTACATTGATATAGTGGAATTATATTACTCTCCTCTATGGTTCGATAACACAGTAGAACTAAAATACCATTACTAGGAAATTCAATAATTTGTAAGAAATCATCCCATACATCCCTCTTTCCAGCTTTGAATAAAAGACAGACTAACAAAAACTAAATCAGTTAATACAAAACACTCTGTTCATAAAGGTCTGATTATTTTAATCAAATATGCCCGTTCATAAATATCAATATCCATGAAAAAGGCATGATATTGCTAACATGTGAAATATTATCTTGAATTATTAGCGTCCTCTACATCGTCTGTAAAAACACTTTATGGCAAATAATACAAATATTTAATGAAGGTTGTGAAGAAGACTTAGTTAATAAATAATGATATCGATTATTAGTTATTTCCTATGATTTAAAATCGTTGTTTATTGTTTTCTTTTGTGTGTGAGTGTTTTGTGTTGTTGTTTTTACCGCAAAGCTGCACAATGGGGTATCTGCGCTCTGTCCATAGTGGGGAACTAAACCCCGGACTTTAGTACTGTGAGTCCATAAGCTTATTGCTGACCCACCGGGGACTAAAGTCGTCGAATTTTAATATCTCTGTCAATGAAAAAATAGTATTTAATACGAAAACATTTAAAACAAACACAAATCATTTTAGTTCTGAAAATATTAAAACTTGAGATCAGTTAGCCGAAACAATAATAGTATGGGAAGGAAGACGAAAAATCTAAAAGTTATGTCACGTCTTTCACCCAAGAATGGAGTTTGAACTTACCATTAGAAAAACAACAACAGCAATATTCAGGCCCAAACAATGTGTAACATATACCGTGTTATTAATACCTTACATAATTAACTCAAAGGGATAAATTAAAGAATGTGGAAGTGGTAACTAGAAGCGTTATTTGGATGTTCCGTTTCTTTAAAGTTATATATTATGTTTATATACAGTTTTAAAGATGTTATTTTGCACTTTGTTTATATTTCACATTACCTAGTTATATTGTTTTGTGCCATGTTCTGAATTTGGTGGAAGGAATGATGCGTTAATTACATTTTGAAAACAAACTCCATTCTCTGAAAGGAAATTCTTGTACCCGTATCATAAAACATACTGCACAAGTTCGTTCTTTAAATTAAAATTTTTTTTAGAGTATAGTTTACAGGAAGACAAAATAATCCTTCATTAAACCACTCATAAATCCAATTTTAATACTTAAAAATAACTATTCATTAAAAAAAGTATAAAACTTTGTTATGAAATCTGAAAATAATGTTTTATTAACGCGTGAATGTTGTTATTTGTATTGAGTTTTCCTTCAAGGAATACCCCCAGTGACTCAACGTTAAACATGAGGACTTGCGCTAAAAATCGAGGCTCGATACCCGCGATAGGCACAGCGACGAAAACCCATTGTTTAACTTTGCAGTTATACACAAACAAACAATTCTTTATCGAAACATGAATAAAAGCGTCCTTTGACTAATAAATATTTATATTTTGTATTCAGTTATATTTCGCAGAAGCCCAGCGCTTATCACACGAGTCTTATTTCTGATAAGACGGATACATCAGAAAACGAAAGGTTAAGTATAGTGAATTACTGACCGTATAAGTGTTATGAAAAGTGTAAACATTTTACCGAACTATAAACACGAAACAGAAATTATTTCAAGGGAACAGATTAATACCGATTTGAAAGTGAACGGAAATGCTTCATCCAGAGTTGATTCAATTAAGATTCTTGGAGTTATTATTTAGAACAACCTTAAATGGGATAGATAAATAGAAATAACACCCAAAAAACTTGCTAGAATAGTATATATTATGACATGGTGCAAGAAAGTTTTTCCACTTCGAGCATTTTATCAAATTTATTACGCCATCTTTTATAGTCAAACGACTTGCTGTATAAATGCATGGGGTACAAATTTCTGTGCATTAAGACCAGTCTGGTTATTACAAAAGAGAGTCCTAAGACTAATGATTGATCTTCCTTATAGAGCATCTGTTACTAGCAATTTTAAAGAATATGTAGTCTTAACAATTTATCAAGTCTGTGTTTACTGGTTCGTTTGTACTGGAAGAGAAATTACAATATTTAATCCTGACATGAACTTCTTAACTCCCTCTGGTGAAAGTTTATATTCCTTTCGACAAAAAACAAAAAAACTCTACATATGTCCACGAAGTAATTCAGTTTTGAGGTACAGGTATTGTTTTTTATTTGGCTCTGATCATTATAAATATAATTCCATTAAATGATTGGTTAACTCCCGGTACCAAATTATTTAAAATAAAAAAATATGCTATAAAGCAGCGTTATGAGAATTTTTTCAGGTAAAAGAAATATATCACAGAAACTTAAAGGTTGACTTTTACCTACTGATGACAAAAAAATCATTTTCTTTTTGTAATTTTAATAGAAGTTCATAGATATCAATCTTTGGTAACTTTATTTAATTCGAATATTTATCAAAACGTTCGTGTTTGAGTGTGTTTGAATATATTTTGATGTCATCGTATTCAACCAAAACTGAAAATTAATTAGTTCCCAGTTGAATTAATAAAGCGTTCTATTTTCTTTGAATTTGACTTCTGTAACGAGACTGTGAACACAGACTTCAGAAAACACTGTCTTTGAAATTCTACAAGAAAAAATTCATAAATGTTTTTATCATTATAGTTGAGCTTTGTCTACACATAAATGGAAATTATAAGCAAAATTTCCCAATTTTTTATTAATCAAAATCTGTTTTAGCCCATTTTATACATAATACTGCTGCACGCAGAAATGCTCTTCTCTAGTCCAAATATTTTAAGTAGTATTTTTTAGCTGTGCATCAACAGAAGTTCTTACCAATATCCAACCAACTGTCAGACACCACCGTCTCCTCACTTTCCAGCTTTATTACTGTTTCTTGTAAACTCCCATAGTAACTCCCACCCTAAAGCTTATATATATATATATTGCCTTTTCCAGTTTTTTTTTTTCATCAGCGTTTATAGCAGCAGAATTGCTTACGTTGCTGCATTTCAACAGAGCTCCAACTCTCCACTGATCGATATATTTGGCAGGTTACTTCTATATATAGCAAAAGCAAAGAAATTCCAAAGGCTGAGAATGATGAAGTGATTTGGACCAGTCCAAACAAATAAATGGTTTATCCCTAATACAGTATGTTTTCATTACATTTTCACGAACCTTAATGCCAATGTGACGAGAAACAGTCTCATCTAAGCTAAAAGCTAAATAATCATCCATCTTGTTAATCAAGTATTGTTACCAATGCATAATTTTCTGCTGACCTATGTTAGTAGATAGGAAGAAAGACACGACTCTATCATAGTTACGTATACACCTAGGTGTTTATATTTGTTAGAGTGATAATAGCATGGATGTGTATGTTGTGAGAGATACTGTAGTATTGTTCTTCAGTGTATGATAACAATAACACGTCTCAAACTAAGCTAGGTCTGGTGTGATTTTTCATTGTTAGTCGACGCTCTAATCTCACAGCCTGTCGTTTAAACCTTTCTGTTTTAACGTGCTAATAAAATAATGCAGTCTTGGAAATACTTTCTCTTATACGTGTTTCTTGGTCACAGAGCAAAGTTGTTTCTTTAAGTAAAAAATATTTCTTTCACAAGTGGCTTGGTCCTTTGAGGGTTCTTCTTATAGTCGTTACTCACCCAAGGAGTTCGAACTTTGTCAACTGAAGAAGATAGAAAAAGTTGCTACGATATAAGAGTAATAACATGAGATAAAAATAGTTAACTGTAAATGTGGCGATTTGTACTTTACTTACACAGCAAGTTTAAGGTTTGCTGTTTTTCTTGATTTCGAGACGATATCTCAGACTCCATGCTGAGATTTTATCAGGATGGAAACCGAAACGTTGTTTCGAAAGCAAGAAAAAATGGTAGGAGAAGTCCATAGAAAACTGATTCATAAACAAACTGAACGTACTGCCTAAATATACTTTAACAATGTTTTGTCTATATTTGTTAATACTTTGCAGAGTGTGGAATGGGAGGATTTATTATCAAAATATAGCTTTTTAAAGAACACCTTTTTGCATTTCATGTAGAGCAAAGGCTATAAAAACTTAATATTTGGCCAATATAACCATTCAACAAGATTTAGTCTTACCTGTTATTGCAAAAGGGAAACTTGATTCGGATATTGTGTCGTTGATGGACCTAGTGCAATTTTTAAGGCCATAGAAACATTTTGTTATCTATATATTAAGATGTACAGACAACCAAAGAGCATTGAATTAATTTTACATTTTTAATATTAATACCTCCAAAAACAATATTTTTCAATTCTTTAAATTGAACTTAAAATGTGTTATTTCTTAAATATTTGCATTGTTATTAATTTTTTTTTGTAATTGAAAAAAATTAACTTAAGAATAACTGAAAGAATAATGATTTACAACATCTTTTTTGCTTATTTTTGATGATTTATTTTATATTTTTTGTTTCTAGATATCATCATAGCAGAGTCTGTAGGCACTGGTGGGAATACTAGCATTTTCTGATCAGGCCCGTTAAACATTGCTTTAATTTCAGAGAAATTGGTTTAGTTAATAAGCTAGACACGTTGTTTGTGACAAGCAGATTGACGAAGGTAGTGGACACACATATCTTCCCAACGAACAAGCTATTGGTTATAGGTAAGGCACTTGCTAATATTTATCGATAAGCGTCTTTGCTAATAATATTCTGAGATAAAATATTTAGTTTATATGTGCACACAATGATTAAATAAAGAGATAAAGTTATTCTATTTCAACTTCTTCATATATTTTTAATTAGTTTTTTTTTCTTGATAAAATTATCAGGGGTTTCCAACGTACTACAACTGCTAACTTTTAAAATTGTGGTTTATAATATTTTTAGATAAATCACTACTAGTTTTTTAGAAACTATGAATTTGTGAAGTTTCTTCGGCCAGTTTTATAATCTATCCAAACAAAACTTTCTCCAGTCAGCTCTATGGTCTAGCCAAACAGAGCCTGTTCTAGTTAATGTTGTAGTTTATCGAAATAGAGCATTTCCTAGTCCACACTAGAGTCAATCAAAACAGAGCCTTCTTCAATCAACCGTATAGTCTATCCAGACAGATAAAAATTTATGTTATTTCTTTAAGAGATTTTCACTGAATAACACAGAGAAAACTACGTGTTAGTTGAAGACATTCGTGAATCTTTTAATACTTTAAAACTCCTTCAGATAAAACCAAGAAGAATAATGTGCAAAGTTACTTAAACCAGTATCTGGAATCGGAAGTTTATTTGAAAAAGACGTTTAGACCCGTCCCAAAGTCAAAATTACTATAAACACTTCGTTTTCAAAGTAGTACTGCAATGGAAAGGCTAAGCTGATAACACAATCGTCTGAAAGTAATACTGTCACCAAATCGCGCATTTGTTTTAAGTTGGCTCTTAAGGACAATTATAAGGAAAATTATCTTTAGAACGATACATCATTCAATGCTGAATATAGGTAGATAGTAGATATAGTGAAAAGACATGCTATATTTTTTTTTCTTAAAACGTTCAATACAATTTGATGAAACTTCATTAAATTCTATTGGAAAAATATTTCAAAAAGAAAAATGCAACAGCCATTTTTTACTTAAGGTAAGATATTTAATTTTATAATGAAATCTAAAATGTTTCAAAGTGCTGTACCGACTTGATATAGAGTTTGTTACGTTCAAAATTTAAAGCTTCATTTCATTAGTGTAATGTTAAACTAATGTTATTTTAAAAGTAATGACACGAACTTTCGCGGCACATTTACAGTACAGAAAGTATAAGTTTTCGGTTACATATCTCCTTAAGTCATTTAAAATCTTATTTGTTCAAGATAATCATTTCTAGTTTATCTTAGCTATATATATATATATAATTACTTTTTGATAACATTTCTTGGATGCTGAACCTTGATGAGGGTAGTGAGAACTGTTGAATAAACGTTAATCGAATTAAGTATAAGTGAATTATAAACCAACTTCGTTGAGAAGAATATACTTTTGAAACGTTTTTTTTCTTCGGATTTTCCCTGTAAATTATTCTATCGTTCTAAACTCAAGTGTTTTATGTTATGACATGAAGTTCATTCCAGGAATTTATTGAATGTGTTCGCAATGAAAAAAATAGTTCTCCAAATTCTGCTGTGAAGGATGCCTATAAATTTTGTCTTTGCCTGGTAACATGCAGTTGGTGCTATTGGAAGAGTTTGAATGAAGCATTAAAAAAAAAACTGGTCACAACGTTTGTGAAACACTACGTAACAGCTTTTTGATAACTTTTTTATTTGTTAAAGCAACCATTCTGTAGCTGAAGATATGCCAAAAAAGTACAAAAGCTCTTGGAATTATAATAATTGTCAATTACATCCACAGCTTACTCTCTCCTAAGTTCATACTCAACGCATTGCCTTCACGTGATAGTTAATTGTCAATTACATCCACAGCTTACTCTCTCCTAAGTTCATACTCAACGCATTGCCTTCACGTGATAGTTAGTAACCTTTTCACTGGCAGTTTTAACCGCTCATTTATCAGTTTCTAAACAGAAAGCATCTTCATAAACAGGGCAAATTTGGTAAGGGGTCGTAGTGGCCCAGTAATTTGGTTATTGTACTGGCTTAGCCTCTTGGGGGGAAGAAGTAACAATTGTATGCAGAGCTTTAAAATCAGAACGTTATACTAAAGTAACTAACAATTTAATTTCAGTTTATAATAATAGTCCAGCCCTCAGTGAAAACTGATAGACTGGCCCGGTGATTGCACGGACCGCTGTTATGGACAGCCCGCCCATGTTTATAAGAAATACTAACTCAAAACACTTGCATTAAATATCAAAATTAGCTCAGTTTAACTTCCTGCAAAGTTTCTGAATATGATAATTACCCCAGACCAATTAATTGCCAATTAAAACATTGAACGTTTATAAGAATAAAATTATTTGCAATTTTCTGTACACCACAATTTTTTATTCAATTTCTGCTCATTCATGGAAAGGCATTCTCTTACAAAAATTTGCTTTATGATTTCATAAGTGACTAAAATAAAAAACACGGAGCTTCTCAAGTCGTAAATCTAACTAATCTGTTCGTAAACACATACTTCTGTCATAGAATGCTAAAATTAAATCTCCTTTAATTTGTTTTTATTTCAATAAATTTCTTTCTAATAGTTATAGCAGTACACAATATACTTATATGATTCATTATTGGGCCTAGTGAGGCCTAGCGATTATCATACTGGACCGTCCTGTTGCTAGCACATTTCAAAATTAATTAAATGTTATTCGAAGTAGTATTTTCCATTACTTAAATCATAGAAAAAATTTACATTTCATATCGTATATATACACCTGGAAAAAAGTTAACCACCCCCAAATATTTTTCAGGATTGCTAATTGAAAATAAGGTTTAATTTTCATGATGTTGAGCAATGTTCATAATTTCAAACATAATTAAAAGGATGTGAGCGTTCAGGTGTGACATTTAAATCAGGCTCGTTTATTTTCCCCACGTGCAACTTGCTCCCTTCTTCACGTCCAATATGCACTATTTTCTCGTGCATCAAATCCGTATTTAAGTCCCGAATTTCTGAATGCAAAATATCATTTTAAGTAAGAATGGCCATCTCTGCGCCTCAAATTATTGGCATGAATTCCGCTGGTATGTCCTACAAGGCGATAGGTAGACAGCTTGGCTATCATTACACAGTGATCAGCAGTTTGGTCAGAAAACATGTTGCCACCCAGAATGTTAAGGACCGTCCTCAATCTGGTCGACCATCTGTAACAACCCAACGTGAAGATAGGAGCCTTGGTAGATTGGTCAGATGAAATCCGTTTGCAACAAGCACCCGTCTTAAAAGGCAGTGGTTACCTGGTCGTAATCTGTCTAACCAGAACAGTAAGAAATC